TAGAGTAGAGTGTAAGTTTGACAATTCGCGAAGAAGGTTCAGTACACATACGCATTGCATTGATTTGTAAGAAAGACGATTCCAGTAATATATGTTGCAACTCGCATCGGAAATGTTCCGTTTCATATATAAAATGTTACGAAATATGTAATAATAGATAAAATAAGTAAAAACATGTAATTAGACCAAAAGATTTTAAAATACGTAAAATGTGGTTCTAATTAATTCAAAATGTCTTGTAAATTCTATAAAATATAACTGAAAGTAGGTATATTTTTCCTATAAAAATATTTACATGAAAATGCATTCTCTAGTTATTAGTATCAAAACGTTCACTACATGAAAACATATTTCAATGGTCCAAAATAATTCCAAACCTGAGATAAAATTCCTGCAACTGTACGTATTCTTCAAAGTCGAGATAGTAGTAATATCTTCAGACTCTGACTAGTGTTTCCAACCTTTTCTGACTGCGGGTGAAGTTGTTGAAATAGGAAGAGAGCGAGGACCACCTACAAATTATCAACTAAAAATCAGTAAAGTCATTTTTAGATTTTGCACTTTTATTAATACAAATGTAACAGAAATTTGTCTGTATGATAAGAAATTTTTAAACTGAAGTTATGAAGTTCAAAAAATTGTTTCAGATATTTAATGGGCTGTCCGAGTGTCGCCGCGTCCATGGCAAAGGTGCCGACGTTTCAGTCGCCATTCTGCGACCTTCCTTCGGGCATTATGCCGTTGTTTAAGATATGCTGACGTACCCAGGAATGATTAAAGAATTGCTGGCACAGGCAATGGTGGAAAGAACGTTTAACACTATACGAATGGATGTCATTCACAGTACTTACAATAACGTGAGCATGTTACTTCTCCCCCACACGTCACCTACAGCTTTTATTGTTTTTCTTAATATTTCTTTTCTCTCTTTTTTTTTTTTTACTAATAAACCAAACAAATCAATCAATAACATTCATCACGTTCATCAATAACACTAATCACGCAGGGTCTGTTTGTGAATTATATCGAGAAAACCATTGACTTCTGCGACCCAACTTCCTGAACTGTGTTACAGGTTTCGCCACCAGTAGTATCACATTGCATGACAAAATTTTCCACAATGGTTCTGCCTTTCCACATTGGACGTGCCTTCAGATTTCTAAACGTTTCTTTCCAGAATTAATACTAACTACTGACCTGAATTTTAAAATGCGGTTTAATAATTATTAGAAATTTGTTTGGAACTTCCGTAGAATATCTAAAATTGTGTATTATTTGCTAGTTATAAGTCAGCCTAAATCTTAAAGCGGGCAGTAGGTAGGTTCCTGAACGGACTTAAATGGCCTGACTTGGCATTAGCTCCTTTGCATTTCGGATACTCGATGTTTCAATGCCTATTTTTAATTATTTAAAACGAATTTAAACGTTAGAAAGAAACTAGAACATATTCGTCTTTAAATTGCACCAATGGAAGACAATTTTTGGAGGACGTATTATGCTCCATCCGCTTATTCATTAACTATGAAGTTTTTTTCCAGCGGCCAACGCTGCACGTGCGACCTTTTTCCTTTTTCTTTTTCCTTTTTTCTTCTTTTTCCCTTTTTTCTTTTTCTTTTTTCTCCCGGTTTCTCCTCTCCAGTTCGTCTGGAGAGGCGAGAATTATTTTGTTTTAGGGGAACATTTCTTGGTTGCAGCCGCTTAGGCTTGTGCAGCTGACATTATGGCGTATCTTAAAGAAACTAACTAGTATTAGTTATTAAGTGCTACTTTGGGCCTATTCTAGTTATGAGAAAAAACTATTTATATTAGATAAAAGTTCTTTGGATTGTTGGTTTTTCTTTTTCTTGTTATTTTATTCATTCACTCTCACATTCTTACTTATGCTATATATACAAACACATTCATTCACACAATCGCACGACACAACGCAACACTATTTACTCTGATTTATTTCTTCGCTACGGCGCCGACTTCAGTGAAGCCTCCGCGGCGCCGCGACGTCATTTCCTGGCGGTCGAGGTCCGGCGGGACGCGTTTCGGGCATCCGCGAGCTGCGCCCCCCCCCCCCTTGCCACCGTCGCACAGCTCAGAGCGGTGGCGCGGGGGCAGTGAGCGCCGTCGCGCAGCGTCGACGCGACCTCTGAGACTCCAAGGACTCTGAAGGGGCGGGGGGGGGGGGGGTGCTTTGCTCCTGCTCGCTCAATCGACGTCTTCGTGCCATGTTCGGCCGCACGCCCGCCGCCGACCTCCGCGAGGGCGCTGCGAATCGCCTGAGCGAGTCACCATGCCATTTGCGCGTGCGGAGCCGCGGCCCGCCGTGGCAGGTCGCGCGGGGTCGCAGGCTGGCGGCTCTCGACTGCGCGTTCTCACGCGCTGCGCGCACACGAGCTCCCCCACTCCACCCCACCCCCTATCCGTCGCCGCCAAGGCGCGCGCCACGTAGTTGGGTGCATGCCACCTTCTCTCCCTCACGTCGCGTGCCGATAAAAGGCACACAAAATATTTTTTTTCCAAGTAAGATTATGTACAATTTTCGAAAATTGAGTATTCTTCGCACAATTTTATAGGCAAATTTTAATTTTGTTAAACATTTTTCTCAAAAACGGCTCCGTTGATTTTGATTAATTTTGTTGTTGAATGATCTGAAGACGTTTAAGAAAAAAGGAGTCTCGTGTTCCTGGTAATTTCTGATTTTTTCGAAAAATTGAAGAATTCAAAATTTGTTTCGACTCCTTTCCTACTACTATGAATTATGAAGATACTATTTTTATTCTTAATGAAATATGTTCATCAAAATAAGAATTCAAAATAAGGTCAAGGTTAACTTTTTTAAATAAGAATTTTTGCATAGTTTTATGTCAAACATACCCAATTTTCATTTTTTATACGATTTTTTCTTAATTTTCTTTAAATTATGTGGAAATTCTTCTCTTGTTGAACATTGGCAATAAAGCTTTGAGGCTTTGTTTTATTTATTAATACATATTTTTTACTTTCTCGCGCGTAAAGAAGGAACTCCTTAGAAGAGAAAGTTACGTAAATGCTGTGCGTAAAAACGGTGAATTTTCGGCAAGAAAAATACTTTATTACATTTATTTATTATATGTGGCATTTATTGTATTACGATTTAAATGTACTGTATTATTTTACTTTTCAAGATGTAATACATAGCTTATTGATATACTCAAAGAATCATTGTTGTCTGCACACCTTTTTCGTTTTCGTTTCCTAATTTTTTAAGCATTTTCACGTATTTTTAGTGCTTATAAATCGGCGTCCTCCTGATAGGCAACAAACTGTTCTTGAGACTTTCTGAATTTCCGAAGACCTATATTAAAATACTAGCACTTATTTCATGAATGCGAATATTCCCTAGATTTTTAAGTAACACGGACAAGAGATGAAATGACGTGAGTTGGAGGAAGTTGGATTCGTTCGTCCACTTGGCCCAAGCGCAGCGGCCGCTGCGGCTCCACGTCCGCGCCGCCCGCGCCGAGCGAAGTCGAGCGCGCCGCGGGGGGGGGGGCGGACGCCGCCCACCGCTGGCACCCGTCGCGGGCGTGGCGGTGCCGGCCCCGCGACAAGCGGGCCACTCCAGGCTTCCTGGAGCGTTCCAGAAGCAAGCCCTGGAGTATTTCGGGTCTGGGGCGACGCGCGGCGGCGCGGCCCAGCCTCCGCCAGGAGGTGGCCGCGCCACCCCCCCCCCCCCCCCCGCCGCCCCCCCCCCGCGCCCCCCGCGCGCGCCGCCGCGCGCCGCCCGCCGCGCCCCGCGCTCTCTCCCCGCCGCGACCGCCCTAACCGCCGCGCACGACCGCACGCGCCGCACCGCGCCGCCGCCGCCGCCGCCGCCGCGCGCCCGCCGCACGCGCCTCGCCCCGCCGCCGGCGCCTCGCGCCGCACCGCCGCCGCCGCCGGCGCGCTGTGCGGTCGCGACCACCGCAGGCGCAGGCTCTCAAAAAAAGCGAAGACGTCGCTGCGGGCGGGCCGAGCGCCGGGCGGCGGCCGCCCGCTCGAGGAGGCGAGAGGGCGGTGTCCGCGCCGCCGCCCACGGCACGCAGCCGCGCCAGGAGGTGGCCGTCGCTGCGGCGAGCGGCGCGAGTGGCGCTGCGGTCGCCGGCGGGCGCCTCGCCAGGGCCGCCCTCCTTCCCCAAAGGGGCCTTGAGTTTTCGTTTGTTACCATTTTATTAATGGTCACTCGCTTCACTCCGCACACCTAATGGAATTACTTAGAATTTTAGAATGAAAACTACTACTACCGTAAATTACAAGCTGCGCTCCGCCACTAGTCCCTATTACAGCGTGGATTTGTCTGTGCAGCTGAAGCTGCACGCTTGTGACGCAGATACGAGACGTGACGCAGCGTGACTCACGTCGAGTTCCTCACAGCCGCGGTGAGTCACAGCCGCGGTCGCCGCAGTTCGCTCCACGGGTGACCACGAAGGTGCCGACTATTCCTGCGACGTTAGAGAATTTGAGTCCCGAATCGGATTTCGAAAGCGAGTTCGAGTTAGAAATGTTATGTTACGAAAAAGAGGAACACATGAATACTTTGTTCTAAGAAATCGATGATGACAAATTTCAGAACTATTTTAAATTAAACCGTGATAAGTTAAAAAAATTGCATTATCTAATAAAAAAATTAAATTAGCAGTGGGGACTGCAACGCCGCAAGAACTACACGTTAATTGACTGAATTTTTGAGCAAACCACGAAATATGAGTTTTAATTAAAAGTTTTGTTTCCTACACATTTATTTTTCCCCTCAATATTCTTTTTGTTTTTGTTTTTTTTCGTCTTTCAAACACATAATACCACGTATCGTCTCAATTCAATGTTTTAATATTTATTTTCCATTGCTTTTTAACAACAAATATTTTAATTCTTGTGAAATGTAAACTTTAAATTACATATTTTCGGTGGGGGGGGGGGGTAAAACGGTAAACGTAAAACGGCATATTGTAAATATTTTTACAGTACATAAAATTGGGATTTATTTATTTAAAAAATGGTTTGTAATTGGGCGCTATCACCGACAAACCTGTAAATAGGTCTCTCACAGCATTTCTTCCGGGATCTAGGATTAAATTATCTATACGTACTAAAGGTGGAAATTAAAAATGTAGCTTTTACAGAATAATATTTATTACATAAACGAGAGCAAGTTAAATATGCGAAAGAGTCACAAGCACCATACACTTTAGGTCCCTTAAATAGTGAAATACGTATTTAAGATAAATCAGTTTTGAGAAAGATGATCAAAATACTCGTATTTGACCAAACCTCGTTGACCTGAACCTGCAGTTGATGTGTTCGGTTTCATTTCACAAGTCTCCTCGCACGTCTGTGATAATGTATATCTCATTGGACTATCGCAGAGGGAAGAGGCGTGAGGAGTCGATGATCTGGTCCAGGAGTGACCAGATGTTTGGGACGACTGTGGAGCTCTGTGCGAATGTTCTGCTGGAATGTTCAGCAACGTGGCCTCCACATCTGTAACGACACGGAAAACGTTGTTTCTGACGGCGAACTGCGACGGCGGTGGCATGGTTTTAGTCACCTCGTACATAGACAGGAAGAAGTGATAGAGAGAATCGCTTGGGGCACTTAGTTGTTCCAAAATCCTTTTTCTTTCTTCCGATCTCCATTTTCTTCGCTCTTCCTGCTGCTCCATGCTTCGTTTGAGTAAACCAGCAACGGTTTCTTTCCTCCTCCTCTTGGCAGGTCGTGTGCCGATGGCTGCCGGGGTGGGAACCTCCGCTTGCGTCGCAGATGAAGTGTCAGGAGGCGCCTGTGGCGGAGCCTCGCTTCGAGCACTTCCGATTCCCTGCTGCACGTTCGACACACGCTCGTCAACTACTTCAGGTGAATCGTCGGTGCCACAAGGTTGCGGGGCGGTTTCACTATCTTCGTCTAAGTTTCCTTCTCGAGTTTTACTTGCCATATATGGTAGCAAAAAACTCAAGTGCTTTTGAAATTTCCACTGTTTAATAGATTGAGCCGGTATTCCTATTTTCAAGCACTTTTGCTGTCTTCTGAGAGCATCTCTCAGCGAATGTCTCAGTTTCTCCCAGAGACCTTTCGCTTCATCACCTGCAACAAAGGAGTAGAGAGGGAATTTAAGAGTGTAGACATGTTTACTTTGGGATTAAAACGTTAAAAACTATTGCTATCAAACAATTATTAGCTCCTAATTATTGTTTTTAGACATTTGGCGACAGGAAACTCGTACAGAGATGTTGTATACAGCTACAGAATGAGGGAAGGAAAATTCTCGAATATCGTGCTGAAAGTTTCACAAGTATCATTGTAAGTATGGTTGATGGAAAACATGTGATAGAAAAAACTGGGAACACTGGATCATGTTATTTTAATTATAAACACAATTTCCCCGTCTGCTAATAGCTACCGCAGACGCAAATACAAATTCATTCCTGTTTATGTAGGATCTCCAGGAAGGTTCAGTGATGGAAGCAATTAAACTCGAAAGATGTTGGAAAAAAATGATGAAATGTTCTTTACAGATTCCACCACCTGCATTGCTATCTCCAATACAGGATCAATCCTTTCTTATTGATGGCTGATGAGGCGATCAGTTGATAACAGAGATTGATGCGACCGTATCCAAAACCACCATACTTGCTTCGAATTTGAATGCATTTGAAATTGAAGTGAACAGAAAGCTTTTACAATTCGATATACCTCTACCATAGGAATGATTCCGTGGCAGAGAGAAAGTGCATGAAAAGGAAAGTACTGAAATACTAAGAATTTGCATACAATTATACTGCCACCACCCTAACGTTTTTTTGTCAATGTATGTAACAAGGAGCAATGGAGGGTTAACCCAGGAGGGATCGCATTGGAGAATTTAGATCACAGACATTATTTCATTTATAGTTTTGTTTAATATTTTTTTTACACCCTTCTGATTTTCGGTACCTCTGGAAAAAATACTTCTCACTTTTCTCCTTTGAAATTTCTAGTACATTCGTTTAGAATCAAGTGGGGAAATGTTAGATCAACCTGTGGAAGAAAGGCAAACTAATGCGGTATCGTAAGTGAAACTTTAAAAAAATGTTCTTTCAAAACTAAACAAAAACGGGGGAAAGGACCCTGCCAGATGAAATGATAGCCAATAGTTACAAAACAACTTACCATTTTGTATGCCAACTTCCTTGGCAACTTCCTGCCATTTCTGAGCCTTCAACTTCGTTCGTAAATAATCCTTGTGGCTTGTGTCATAAAGAACTTGACGACAACGCACGGCTTCAATAAGCTTTTCTTCCATCTCCAGCAAAGTCACAGAGAAACGGCGACACGTCGCCCTGCGCTCTAACGTGCGCGAGTGCAGTCAGCGCAGTGGTTCGCAGAAATGACGAGTCACCCTGCGTCACCTCACACCAGCGTCTCATTTTACGACTACGCGCGCTCTCTACCGGCGGCTCGAGTAACCAGCTCGGCGTAGTTGCTTTGCCGTCTGTACTGTGGCGCGGCTGTCGCGACGTTGCCACCGAAGATTTTCTACCTCTTTAGCTCCTCTGTCAGCCGGATACTTCTTAGGCACAAGATGGCTCCACGTGCTCGTACGCCTGCACAAACAGTTTGGGGTTATTGCGTCCGTCAAAAACAGTAAGTAAGTTTACAACCGCTTATGAAGCAAAATGTGTTGTACAGCCTGCAGCTCAAAAGCCGGGAAAAGAAACTGAGTATTGTTAACATCATTATTTTTTGTTGATTAGTTTTCTAATATGTTCAGTCCCTCGGCAATAAACGTCTGCGACAAAATGGCAGCCAGAATGACGACGTGCAGCTCTCAGACACTAACTACTATATTAGAGCGAGAGGCGTGCACACACAATAAATTCATTATATGATAATACATGTTATACATAACGTGCATGTACAGGTGTGTGTCAAAAATAACGACACAAAATAAAAGTATAAAAGTAAACCACACAATAAAATGTCAAAAAGTTATATATGTATTAAAAGAATATTTTTCATTGTCCATAGTATACTACCTTACACACATGAGAAGTGTAGCGGGCTATAATTAGTATACTAGTAATGAAAGGATTGTTAAAACTCGAAAGTGACTAATCTCCCCATTACTATCCCACTCGCCCTGTTATCCATGCGTTTCAGTGCACAAATCGATATCTATGCCATGCATCCTGCAAATTAGACAAAACTCTGACAGAATTTAGTGATAATAAGCGTGTGAAACGAGGCCAAATGAGTGCTACGTAACTTACATTTAACCAACTAATGCACCCTTTGCGTGCCTAATGCGTGCCCTTTGACATTATTATTACAAATCGATATCTAGAACCTGCATGGAAGACCAACGTCGAAATTCGATCTTGTTACAAAAGATATCTCTCAATATTCTTAAAATCGATATCTACTAACTTTAGAAATTTAGTAATTGATACTATCTGCAATTCCTAAATAACATTTTTTTCTCGTTACCAACCTCAAGAAAAGATCGCTTCACTAAATAGCGCGGTTCTCGAAGAAGAAGAAAGAAGAGCTCGGTTTCGAGAGAGAAAGAGAGAGAGCTAGCGAGCGTCGACTGCCGTGCGAGGGCGAGGCGGAGAGGGGGGCGGCTGCGGCGGACCGAACCCTTCAGCGGTTCCCTCTCGCGGTCTGCCCACCCGGCGCCCAGTCGTTGGCAGGAGGTGCCGACCTCACGCCCGTGCCATCTGCCGCGACCGCCCAAATTCCTTTGCTTCTTGTTCTTTTCTTTCTCTGTCGCAAGGGGGTGCGAGTGGGCTGGTGGCTCCCAAGCTCGCGGGCTCGAGAAGCTTTTTTGCGCAGCGGGGCGGTGCCGGTCGGAGCGCCAAAGAGTTAGTTGCGCCCACCACACGACCCGGTCCACAGCGGCGGTGAAGAGGTGGCGTCTCGCCGACGCCAGCGCCAGCGCCGGCCACAGAATGAACCACGTCGCCATGAGCAGCGGGCTGTGGCAACGTTGTCCCCTCCCAGCCACCGCACAGTCCTAATCTGGCCCCAGCAGACTTCCTTTTGCTTCCTTGAATACTGAGAAACTTCCAGGGGGGCGGTAGATCCCATGAAATCCGCCGAGACGAGATGTCTGAAGGCGGTTCCCGTGAAAGTGTTCCGGAAAGACGACCAGACCGGGCAGAATTGCTTGAAAAAGTATATTGAAGCCGAAGGATGCTATTTTGAAAAATGCTAAACATTTGTACTTTTATTTTCAATAAATTGTTTTTTACGGAATTTATTCAACTCATTTTCAGGACACACCTATTGTGCGAACACCGTAACATACGTAACTAACACGTAACTAACTTGAAAATTCCCACCATAGTATTATTACACAATTCTCTCTAATTAGCAAGCACGTGAAGAGTACCCAGGATAAGGTGGAAAACAGTCCCCTAAAACCAAATGACATGAGTAGTTTCACCCTTAACTCTAACATAACTGGTGGTGCGACAGAATGGCACAGACTGTAAAACGTAGTAATACGTGTTAAAATCCTTGGTGTGGGCTAGCTTTACGGTGTTGCCCCCGTCCTCTTAGCGGCTGCTATCTATATCACCGCCCTAAATTCATTTTTTTTAAATTTTTGTTTGGTTTTTCTATGGTATATTCGAAAAGTTACTTTTACAATATTAAAGAACAGTAAAACCGTCCTATATGGAAATTTTCCTTCAAAAAGTTGGGACCGCTTTTAAGAGAAATCGTTTAACTTTAGTGTCAATGCTAAATGTGAAGCTCTTTCTCACAGTAATATTTTGTTTTCGAAAAACTTCAGTTGTAGTCATTAAAAGATCAGAAATGCAATAAGGTATACCAACTGCTGAAAATGTCCACATTAACGGGATGAGAGATGCTGAAAAAAATACTTTTGTGTAATTTTTTATAAAAGAGCAAAAGAATAGAGGAAAATTAATTCTAACACACCTTAAACAGTGCAATAAGTACTATTTGCACGAAACATTTAAAGAAAAAATTTGGTGCTGTTTTTAAGAAAATAGCTTTGAGTTTAGTGAAAATACGGAATTTTGAGCTCGATTTCACATACAACTATTGAGTTTTCAAGAAACTATTAAACATCATTTAAAGCACATGTACTCGTAAATGCGACAATGTGAACAAATCGCCGGTTATGTAAATATTAACGACGTCAGAGGCTAGTCAAAAAATTACATGTTAATATTTTTTAACAAAAGAATAGCAAAACTGCGCTTATGTGATCTCATAGAGTAAATGTTGCACTATCCCTACTAAAAATTAAAGAAAAAAGTCACAAATGTCACATATCTATGTGTTAAATCTGTTTATTTCTTTTTAATCTGCGAGTTGCTTCACTGTTGTCCAGGATGTTAACGGCCAAGTGGTTAGGGTGACCTTCGAGTCTATCTTGATATTTTCTGCTGTAGTTGGTAACAGTTTCGTATGACCCTGAATGCGTTGCTCTTGAGTGTACATTGTTTCTCGTGGAAGTAAGTATAAACAGGGAAACATTTGAAGGATTCCCGTAAAGAGCTTAATTTCACATTTTTCATTTTCATTGCGTTTCTTTCGTACTCGTCGGTGCTCAGTGACTTGCAGAGCGCTGGTTCGAGAATCACGCGAAGAATCCTGTCGGAAGAATGTTTCCTCGTAAACTGAGGGAGAGTTTGATCATACATTTGCTTAATATTGTGATTTGCCACTCCTTGGAATACACTCCTATAAATGACGTGCTCCTCGGAGTCGAGTTTGAAAGATTTGAAGTGTCATATGAAGACATATACGTTGACTTTGGCAACGAGTTGCTTCCCAACCAAGTAAAGCATCCACCGATTCACCTCCGCTGGTATACAGAGATCCACAAGAACGAAGATACTTATGACACAGTGCTAATGGTAGATCCTGATGCGCCAAGAAGAGAGAATCCAACTGCTCAGAACTGGCTTCACTGGTTAGTTGTCAACATTCCCAATCGCGACATTTCGAAAGGGCAGGTTCTCGTGGAATACGTTGGTGCAGCGCCGTCAAAGGGCTCGCTCTTCCACCGTTATGTTTTTTTAGTTCTACAACAGAGACATCGAGTGAATTTCAGGGAACAATATCTTAAGAAAACGTCAAGTAAAGGCAGAGCATCTTTTTCTATTTTGCAATTTTGCCAAAGATATTCTCTCTTCCCAACACATGCCAACTTCTTTGTTGCGCAATGGGATCCTTATGTTCCAATTCTACAAAAACAAATCAAGGGAGAGTGATGCTTTTCTTCGCATTTTTGTAATTGTAGTGAATTTGTTTTTCATAAAATCTTCTGTAAGAAAAGCAAGGTATCATTTTTAACGATTATGTAATTCAAGTTAAGAATTATAATTTAATTTATTTTTTTGAATCATTAAAGAAATAAACTCAAATGACTTGTCATTAATTATTTTACCGGTGTAAATACGAAACAAAAAAGGAATATGTGTTATTCAAATTGAATTGCGTTAACGTTTGGAATAGCGATAGTGTGACAAGTTACCCAACGGCGCTCACATCCAATTCAGCTCTTTGCTCTTTGCTCTTTCATGTGCTAATGTGCTAATGTACCAAGTTTCCTAAACTGCCGCCAATTTCGTCCTGGAACGTTTTCACGAATTGTCCCAAGGATTCGTTCGAGAGTATTCGGCCGTAACGCACATTCACCTTTGAAGAGCTCGCTGTCATTTCTCGCGATTTCGATGTTCCACAGAGCGTGCAGCGTGATTCGAAAAAATAGTCCCTATCGTAATGCATTGCTTGCGGACACAGAAAGTGAATCATATCGGAACATAGGATTATTACTAGCAAGAATAACTTGCTCCGTTATTTTAACAAAGCTCCGTTAATACCCTCTGTTCCTCAAACTTTCTACTTTCTCGCTACAGAGTAGGGAGAAAGATATGTAATGCTGCGCGACAAAACGGCGAATTTCCAGTTGCTAAATTTAAAAAGAAAAATCCTCTGACTCGGGGTGTAGCTAGAATCCATGTTGTGTGGATCGTTGACGCCGAAAAATCTAACGCCATCAGAACTGTCATCTGTCTGTTCATCTGTCAACAACGCTAGCGGCTAAACCGTTCTGCAAATTTTCTGTAAAATTGATATTCCCGAATCAATCTGGCTGATGTCGCAGCCCCTTGAATTCGAAACTGATATTTTAATTTTGGGGAGTACTTTTATAAATATATGCGACGTCCGGTGGTTGGTTGCCAACCTAATGAGGTTGAGACGCACGGCCTATGACCACCATGTTAATTCACATTACTTTGTCAGTGGTTCCGCTAGAACGCACTTCTGAATGCTATGGGCATGGTATGGCATTTAGTGTGGTAATGTTTCCCAACGTTCTTTGGCGGGAACTGCCCTGGTGTATAGTATCGTATAGTATGTTAGAGATCGCGAGACGCGGGCTCAGTGGGGCTCTGTGGTTGTCTCATC